TACGCTCGGAGGAACGCTTATCCACGCATACTACATAGTAATCCGATCCGCAAAGCCATTTTGGAGGAGCTTCTCGTACAGATAACATCATTCTGGTGCGACTCACAAATTTCAAACGACGCTTTTTTTCTGTCAGATCTGATTGAACAAGCACATATTTCATTGTATTCTCCTTGTTTCATGGCAAACTCTAAATGCGATTCCAGGTACGGTTGGCGACGTAGACTTTTTTTTATTCTCATCGGCTTAACAGGGACGTTCGAGTTCTACAGTTTACAGCAAAGTTATTTAGTCACACAACTTTACAAACTTAACGTAGATCCCATGTATCAAAAGCCGAACATAACATTGGACGTTTTTACGGTTGTCTATAGCTCGTGACTTTAACTACCTCTTAATCAACGAATAAACAAATTACTTAATGACATTTTCTTGGTGTTTTATTTGGATAGTACCTCAAGCATGGCCTGATTCCTAAAGTGAGCAGTGCGTCTACGTATGTGGTTGACGTTTGTGCATGATAATACGACGAAAAAGCTCTTACATCTTTCTTGACAGTACTAACGTTTCCAATCATCGTCATGGTTCTGGTGTCCTGAGTTCCTAAAATAATGTCGCAGCAATGCCATATGTGTTATTCCAGAGTCCACCAAGCTTTTCTGACGCATTTTCATCACGGAAATGTCTTCAGTAAAATGTGCATGAACAGATGACAATAAAAAATCACAACATATCCACGGAGTGAATGATGAGTGGGGCGAAGCTTCGGAGGGATTTATCGGTAAACCGTGAATAATCCATCCGTCTGTCCGTCCGTTCGCACCTGCTGAGGGAGTCATCGAACTAGGCGGTCACACACGAGCTAGAAGGGACAGACCCACGGCTTTGGGAACTTCGCCCCTAAAACCAGAAGAAACAATTTCGTTCATTTGGTGAAGCCCATGACCTCTGGGTTGGTGGCGATAGGAGCCGAGTGTTTTGTAGCCACTCCGCTACCGACGCACATGCATGAGTTTTCACAAGCACACCTGATATATCTCACTCGTTCTTCCTCCCACAGTGCTCTTAAATTGCAGGCGGGGTGTTGCCGCCTAGCAGAGATGAAGTAAGGTATAGTGCGTCATTACCACAACGACACGAACGAAAGCGTTTCGGCAGTTTAAACAGAAAGGCAATGACGTCGACGGGCAAATGTCGTGCATTGAGTGCTTTGGCGCAGCGAGACATGTACCAGTGAAAAAGGCATCTCCTTCTCGCGTCCACGACTCAAGCTAGAAAAAATCACAGCTTATTCACTGACTGATTGATGATGAGTGGTCGAAGCTCCGGAGGTACATCGGTAAACCATGAATCATCCGTAAATCTTGAAATCTTGCCCTGTCGACCATCATGTAAAGATGGCGAGCACGTGCTGCAGCCGTTTTCCGAGCCCTCCGCTCCGCCGCCATGTCTTCGTCACTCATACTTGAGGCACACAGGCTGCCGGTGAAAGAGGAAGCGCGCCAAGAGCGAACGCATTTTAGCGCAAGAGCGAACGCTGTCTCCTACCACGCGAGAGCACGCATTCGCTTGAAGTGAGCACCGCTGCAACATCTATTGAGTAATCCGAGTACTGGCTGGCTGGCTGGCTGGCTGGCTGGCTGGCTGGATGGATGGATGGATGGATGGATGGATGGATGGATGGATGGATGGATGGATGGATGGATGGATGGATGGGCAGACGGACGGGCAGACGGACGGACGGACGGACGGACGGACGGACGGACGGACGGACGGATGGATGGATGGACGGATGGATGGATGGATGGATGGATGGATGGATGGATGGATGGATGGATCCGGCTGTGCCTTTAAGATCGGGTGGTGACTTACGCCACCTAGCCATAAAGTTAGGTACTATCACTATGTGTTTAAGGATTGAATTTCGCTCGGGCCTTGATTGTAGCCACCAATAAGTTAGCCTCTTCCTGGTTATTTTTACCCGTTTAAAATCTATTTTACCTTCACTGCCCCTGGCACAAAACGAGCACTCAAAAAGGGCGCGCCACCGAATTCTCGCGACGAAACGCCGGAGTGACGCCGCGAGGTCAACGGTAAAAAAAAGAGAAAACAAACATCTAAAGACTCCCCGGGCGCGCGCTTCCTTCTCTCCTCGAAAGCGTGGGTTCGCAGACGAACCTCCTCACATCGACGCCCGAGCAAGACCTCGAATGTTCTAGATGAAAAGGGGCGGGGTGATGCCGGGTTGAGTCATCTGTCGCGGATGGCCTTCGAGCCGTCTCGCCCTCTCCCCAGCCTTCGCTGCGTATCGCGCCGACGAAATGACGAGAACTTTCTGGCATCTCGCGCGGAAGGTATTTAATGGAGCAGCCGAGGTGAGAGGTCATGAGAAGACGGAAGTTAGCGCCAGAGCGCTTAGGGTATTCCGCCGTGTAGTCGGCGAAGGTTTTGTCCGTAGTGACAAAGCAGGAGAAGAAGATGATTTCCACCTGAGGGGCGAAGGCTCGAGCTACAGGCAAGAGCGTGTGTCTACCGCTATCGAGCGAAGACGCGTGGCAACAGCTGCGTGCGTGAAGCCGACGTGTTTCCGGCGAAGAAGGTTGAAGCTTGGAGAGTGGCCAAGTGAAGACGCAAGCTTTCCTAGAAGAAAAACTTCGGGGCAGTCGAGGTTTCCTGGAAGAGAAACTTCGGGGGCAGCAGAACGACAACAACGCTGGACTTTGAGTGAGTGATTCTCGGTAGAGTATCATCCAGACCTTTGTTCCAAGAACTTTGGACTGAATAGGTTTTCTATCTCTTTAGTCTTTAAGTGTCTTGGTTGTTCAATGCATGCGACTGCATTCTAGTGCATATTGTTGTCTGTGTCCGTTGTTTCGAGTGTGGCTGATTGTACTGTGTAGTACGTGGTTTGATTGGTGACATATTGTACTCAACTATTGTGGAGTGTGCATACTTGTGTATTGTTTTGACCTGCCATTATTGAGAATATAATTTTGTTTCGTTTATCAACTCTCGGCTCTGACTTGTTCTTTGGGCCACAGCCGGCGTCCGCTGGCGCGCCAAATAGGACCACTTCTAAATTGTCCACGCTTTCGTGGGGCGGTTCGGGGGGCCGATACTACGGCCCTTGGAATTAGCCCGGCGATCGCCTCCCTAATTAACGGGACCCGTGACAGCCCCTAAACCACAATGAAGAATTCCATGCCATTATCTTGGACTATAGAGTGGACACCTTTACAGAACATTATCAAATGTTCAGCCGTTTCTTCCTCCTCTCTACACGGGCTACAGACCATGTCTGTGCCTTCGTATTTGGCTCGGTACGTCTTGGTCTGCAGTACTCCCATTCTGGCACTGAACAGCAGAGAACCCCGAGAATTATCGTAGATCATTTCTCATCCTTGTTCATGTAGCTGGATGGATGGATGGATGCTATGAGCGTCCCCTTTATAACGGGGTGGTGACAAGTATGCCACCAGGCTCGACAAAAAAAAAATCCTTTTTCTTTTTTTTATGTTGGCCTAATGCCTCTACTTCGATAAATTCTATCTTAATGGAAAAAAGGTAAATTTTCAGCTTAAGTTCTCTGCCATTTACGGCACACTGTCCATATTTTATTTTTCCAATATTTATTTTTGTCCTTTCTCTCTAATTTTCTGCCACCAATACTCTAACCGTCTCTTACTTATTTCAATCGCGGGTGTGTTCAGCTTTCCATTGTTGTCCCTAAAACCCAAGGCCTCCTGTAGGCTCGTGCCCAAACGTACACCCGGGTGGATATCTCCACATTCAATCAGAACATGCTCCGCCGTTTCCTTATCTTTCCCGCAGCATGTGCATTGTTCTTCTTCTTTACTGAATCTTGCTTTATAACTACGCGTTCTAAGGCAACCCGATCTCGCTTCAAACAGTAAAGCGCTTCCCCTTGAATTATCGTAAAATGCCTCCCTCCTTATTTCATTTTTGCCCTTTCGGTAGTTACTCAAAGCCGGTTTTTTCTCCATAGCTGCCATCCAGTAAATCCTCTCCGCCTCCCTGACTTTTCCCTTAACGCTCTTTGTTGACATATGGCTTACAATACCAGCCGTGTAGCTCACTATATGGTCAAGCGCCATCTAGATAGCACTCTGAGTACTAGCGGTGGCTACTACGCCGACGCGGGACTAGCCTACACCCTAAGAAGCTTGGCCCCTAAATCTCTACAAACTCTAATCTCACCACAACACCCATGTCTTTAAAATGGATTACTTCTTTGGGGAGATCGTACTGGTCTACGGGATGCAGAACTCATCCGCCACGTGCCACTCTCATCTTATTCTATCTTCTTACCATCTTCATTTCCCTCTTCTCCTCGCCGCACAGACGCTGAGACGTGCTACCATTTAGGGTAACAGAAATCTCGTCTTTTCATTTCCTCAACATCTTTTCCTCCTCAACTCTACTCTCGCGTTCCTGAAGCGTTGTGCGGCATGAGTACAGACATTGGGTACCATGTTACTGGGAAGCGCACACCTTGGCGTTTGTCTCGTCAAATAACGACGCTTTTAAGGAGTGCATACCGAGTACCAGCGTTTGTTATGTGCTTGTTGATGTCATCTTCGCACGAAATGCACAGGTGCGTGCTAACTACCTTAGCCAACGCGAGGGTTAAATTACCGTTATGAACGTTATTCATGGGGATCGCAATGTGCCACAAGGCCTTGACGCGGGCGCACCCACGCCGAACGGTGCTATAGCTGTAAACCACCTATGAGTATTGTGCAAGCTCTCAACAAATAACTGACGATGAGCAATCAACTTTATTCTTACAGCAACACCGTTCACTTTTATGTTATACCGATTACCATGATAGATTACCATGATAGAAATGACAACTATTTTTCAAGCGTTACTCCTAGCTGGTGGGTAGGCTTGGTAATTTTAGTGAAATCGTCCGTGGTATGTGCAGACTTTGGAGCGGATTTTAGTGGCTGCTGGGACTGAATATCTCTGCTTTACAGGGCCACAAATCGATGACACCAAGAACCGTGTGAACGTCCATCACGACACTCTGGGCAGGTTGCTGCGAGAGGCACTATTCAAGCTCGTGCCTTTACCTTGGATTCTCTCCGTAGAAAAATGGCGATACGCTGTCTTTCAAAGGCGTATCCCAGTTGCGAGCCTGGCCTCTTCACTATGGGATTATCGGTATGCTTTTTTTTTTTTGCGAATGGAATGAGCACGTTATCTGTCTATATTTGCTTTGCCAAGTGCCGATGCTCGCGTACGTATCCCCGCAATGCTTCGTAATAATGCTGCTCTTCAAGGAAGATCGATTTCAATTTGCAAAAAAAAAAGTTAGAATGACGAGAAAGGAGTGGATACTGATTTTATCTCACAACTATGGTTGTCAATAGGAACGCTAAAAAAATATTCAGTACTTATCAAGTTTTCCAGTACGTTGTTTCATGGTGTGAAATGCATTAAATAGGCAAAAAAGCAGTAACACAAACAAACACGAAAACAAGGACGTGAAAGGGCGTGGGAAGTCCGACACAGGTGTACGCAGCACCTAAAGAACTTATCTAAACCTCTTTGAGAGCAGCTGAGGTCAATGTTGTCTGGATCGTTACCGATACATGCGTAGATACTCGCCAAAACGGTCTCATGTTGATTTACTGTATGAAGGAGAAAAGCAATGTGATTCATATAGCATTGATAGATAACTCGGCCCCGTGAAGGACAAACAGTAGCAGGAACTCCGCTTCGACTGGCCTGCGTTCTCATTTCATATCGCGATGACATTCCGCCGTCTTTATATGTACTTTTTTTCTCTCGCAACAGAGAAAAGTTTCAAGGTGTGAAGCCGCCCACACCGGAGGCGAAGAGATACTTCGACGTTGGAGGAAAACACCACGTGTCCCACTTCATACCTTACTTCAGGTCAGAATTATTTTCCTGTTCACCGTGAGTTATATTGAAAGCGGGCCACAAAAGTTATATTGAAAGCGGGACACAAAAAAATGAAGAGGAACGATCCTACGCGTGAACAGCGTCTTTGGCGACTTGTTGTTTTATTACAGATAATACCGTAGCATTAAATCATGGCGAGCATGGCGATTCGCTTGGATATAGGGAAGCACGTATAGTTAAGTTAGATTCACTTGGTGACCGGACACACACATGCATACCAAAAATTCCCCGCTGATCCACCCCCCCTCCCGTTTTGCCAGTGGAAACTGAAAGGAAACAAGCTCCGGAGTGGATGCAAGAATCAACATGAAACGATGACGTGCTTCTCACAAAGGCCAGCCATTGGTCAACGGCTTTGCGGTATAAAAGTAACAAGTAAACAGTTGTGTAAATGCAACATCCAGGGGTAGTAGGTCACCATTACCGTCACAAAATGTGCGTGGCCATAAGCCTGCGCATTAAAAAAAAAGGGCCGTGAAAGGTCCGACCTACTAAATGTAAGTGACAAAATTGGCGCCCCCTCTAGATGATGAGAGGGGGGAATTACCTCCGTGTGACCCCCCAGCCTCATCCCCCGCGCACTTCTGTGCTTCTAGACTATATATATGTTCAGAAATAATGCGCTTAAATCACTTTCAGAATAGCAGGCTTAGCGCCGAATTACACAAAAACAAGTATACTTAGGACGTGGGCTTACACTGCTCAAGTGTTCTTCCTGTGTGTCTGTTCTTTCTGCGTATCTGCGCATCCGTTCTGTATGTGTCTTCTTTTGTGCTCGTTTTTTATTACGTCTGTTTGTTTTTGTATAAATTTAGCAATTACCTTAACAGCAAGTACCGTGGGAGCAGACGTGCATAAAATGTCGAATGTATGCAGAATGAACATGTTGCATAAGTGCTCCAGCATAAATATATATTTAAATGCGAAACAGTTTCGAAATTCTCTTGTAGCGCCGTCCCCCCCCCCCCCCCTTTTTTTTTTAGCTTCGCCAGTATCTATAACGTTGACTTAACTTGTAGCCCATATTGCGTGCTCAAGATTTTGCTTGGGAACTTGTTACAGACTCTGCGCTGCTTTAGCATGAATAGTTGCTTGTAACAGGCACTGTGGCAAGTTTTCTTCTGCTCTATTACTGTGGTTGCGTTAAGACAACAAGCAGTGAGCTGCTCTGGCCACACTGGAACTAGAATATTCGAATATTTTTAATTGTTTTATTGGTTCCTTATGTATACAATATGCGACAATGCGCCCTTATTATGAAAGCATTACATGACACGATCTTCATCTGTGGTAAAATAAATGAAAATGGGGTGTTCTTCAAGACAGCCCAGAACAAAAAAAAAAGGATATACGCACAAAAAACAAGTGTAGCCACCAGTGAGGGTCGACCGCACGACCGCTGGTTTACAAGACCAGCGCTCTGGCCCTGAGCTACAGCGGCTCTCGTGCATTCACGTATTTTCCCGTGTGTTCTGACCAGCTAGAGTAAAAAAACCAAAGGAGGCAACGTTCGGAAAATTCGTGGCAAGCGCGACAATATAAAAGGGCACCGTGGTAACATAAAAACTCCGTGTCGCATACACCGGGACGGCGAAGAAGACGGCAGTTGGCCTATTAAAGACTTGGCTTTTTATTTGGCCCGTATATACTTGTGCCCGGGAAACGACAGTGAAACTACAATCAATACATGATGTACATACACTGGTAGCGGTGAACGTAGCGTCGGCTGTCGATAATCTGATCTGCTGAAAGGGGCTTCCAGCATTTATATATGCGGCATCGAACATTCGAGCGTTATCGCTGATGGCCGCGTTAGTTCGAATATAAACTCAAGTGTTCCCGTTTGCGCGCTCGAGTCTGTAAGGCCATTTTCAAATAATCTAGGAGGTTGCCAGACATTTGGGTGTGGTTTACTCAAGGTATTGGTTATGTTTGTAACGGGCTAATTACATAAATATAGCAAAAAAACGTGTGTGGCAGTATAGTAAACGGAAAGGCAGAGATGTTAACTGGGTGTCGATGGGGACTAAGTTAAGGTGCCCCTGCAAACTTCTTCTCACGGAATACTTGATCTGCTTTTATATTTATACTCCTTTAATTAAACAGCTTCAGTGTCTCCAGTACTTCCGTAATCGGTATAACGTCAACGTAATGGCGTAGCGACTTGTTCGACACTTCCTATTACCCAACTATAGAAACATTTTTTTGTTCCGTGTGTGTTCTTGGCAAAAGAAACGTGCATCAAAAAGATTTTTGTTTTTTATGTATATATGAGATCAAGCGCCATAATTTCCTATGTAGTACGTAACTTTTGGTTGCATAAACTGCATTATTCTAAAGCTTTGTTCTATTTCATAAAACCACTCAAATCTTTGGTCGATCCCCTGCAGGGTATGCGCCATACTTAATAGCCGAACTAGGACAATGCATTGACGCTATATGCTAATGCTAAAATTTTATTTGGTCACTGAAGGAAAATGCACTTGCTTAATAAAAGTTCTTTGCTTCCATTACAGTTGCGCTCTGGCCGCTCAGTTTTACGCCACCTGCTTTTCCGCAAACGGTAAAGGGTTTGCGGACAAATCAAAATACTCCCGTTAAAACTGCACTGAAACAACTATATATTTAGACCATTCGGAGATCACGGTTAGCGACAAGAGCTAACTGGTTCCAGCGTTGCTTAAGGTCAACTCATATGCACGAAGTAATACACGTTTCTTGAGGTCAGAACGGCATTTACCTGTGTTGAAAAGGTACTTCGTAGGCAATTCAAGCCAACTCGCTGACTATGCCTCAGCGTTGTGGCGTTGTTGCTGGATATAGTGACCAGATATGATTAGCTCGCTACGTATGGAGAGTAAATGAAATATATTATTATATTAAAGACGATAGTCTTTCTTGGGAACCTTCGACGCAAAAATTTTGGTCTGTCTGTATATTTGTCTGTTTATCCGCCCTTAATGCTACTCCAAACGACATCAAACGATAGCCCAAACGGTGGACCCCATCCGCAGCGCCCACCAACATTGCAAGATTCAGCGTTCATACTTATGCGATTGTCAATTAAAAATCAGTTATTGCGCATATCTGGGGCACCATAACAACACGTCTATATTCTGTATGTGTGCCTTTATACTACAAAAGGCATACATAAGTAATTCTAAGGACCGTAGTGTTTATCAAGCTGCGCTGATAATGCAACGCTTGCACGAAAAGGCAAGTGCTTCCAACGCTTTGCTATAGGACGACACGGTGGCGCCACCTACCCGTCGACTTGCGTTCTACACCTTATCGCCTCCAAAACGGGTGAGCACGCCGCGCGCTTCGTTTTCCACGGTAACTGCCAGATAGCGCTCATGTCTCACGTGTTACGTGACTTGATGCGCTCGTTCGCCTCCACTGCATGCACGCTCGAGGCACTCTAACGCAGCGCCTCCAGAATACCATTCACCGATTTTTTTTTCTTTTTTGCGCAGAACATCAAATAAACATTTTGTTCACTCTCTCCAGTCGGAAAACTATCGTCTTTTGACGACATTTGCAGTGTAACATGCAAATACGCGGCCAATTTTATGTCTTGTGCCTTGCAGGTACTTTTTTGCACGCTTTTTTGACTACCAATTGTTGAAATCAATGTGCCCCGGACAACGACAAAAATCAGCTATGGTTTTTTGTTGTGTCGACAGTGAAAGTCCAGCGATTCGTAATTTAAGGTGAGTACAAATTAGTGGACTTGATATCGGCGAATGGAACATAGCTGTCCCTCAACATAGATGCAGTACTGTATAGACTACTTTCGGTAAGACATCTCGGCGCCGCCATCTTGGGCTATTAAGCCCATGTTATCTTGCTTTTGTATATGGGTATGTGAATTCATACGGCCATAAAACATCGTAGGCACCAACGTTTTTGCGTATGGGTCTATCTTAACACTGTTTCATTAGTTGCTAAATATGCAAAACACTAATGTTAACCATGGCGGCACTGAAACCTGCCCGTAGTCTATACAAGAACTATGTCGTAAGGGTGAGTCATTTTTCGTTACAGTGTAAATCGTTCGTAGATTTTAAGTATAGTCAAGAGAATGCAGTGTTAGCAATCACTGTAGTTGCGGCCTTTGCTTAATTAGTTGCTTCGCAAAGCACATTTCAATGTAAGAACCACTGCAGGGTAGTGCTGTGGATGCAGTGTTGTGCCTTCGCGGAGCACGAAAGCATGAGCTGAAACGCAAAAAACGAAGTGAATGTTAATGATAGAGCATTTCGAGTTCTTGGATTTTCACGGCCCATTTAAGAGCCTTATGAAATCACAGATCGTCCAGACGCCAACAACTACGGTGCCTCTCACAGTCAGAGACATGTGTTACGAATTTTCTTTTTATGAATGAATCAGTCATAAAACGAACGAAATTGTGTGTGGAAATTAAAATGAGAAACAAAAGTGAGACCAAAATTGTTTTATTTACCATCCTATATAATTACAGTAGAATAAATGCTGTCCGTGAACACCTTCACGTGTCTACAACCTTTTTTTTTTTTGTCATGAAACTTACGACACACAAGCATGCATACACACTCCCGCATCCTACCCGCATATATCAAATGTGCTAAAAAAACGTGAACCATAGTTTGATGCGTCGTATACAAGTGGATGTAAAATTTCCTAAAGTTTTTTTCTATTTTCTATGAGAGTTTTTGTAAGCAACTTAGCTTCATGGAACTGCTTCACAGTAATGAAAAGAAGGCCGCTTAGGCGAACACACGGAATTTTTCTAATGTTTTAATTTCGCGCTGTTTGTAGTAAGCGATGGGGGTTATATGCAAATGCAGCTTGTGAGCCAAAAAACGCGGTATCAATATCGCACTACTCGTTCTTCTGTATGCATGCGGCATAGCCCCCCTTATGTGAAAAAAACAACAACAACAAAAACAATGCAATGTTTTAATTCGGAAAAGCTAACTTCTTGGGGCGTTTTGTACTTCCTGGTGTTCGATAAAATGTGCCTGCTATTGTGGTTCAATGTAGCCGTAAACCTCCCTATTCCTTGTCCTGAAAGCATTGTCGTGTTCGAAAACTGTTCGATATAGTCAAGTTTGATTGTACATACATAATTATACATACGCGAAGAGTACATGTGCTTAAACATTTTTCGCACTCGCACTTTCCTTTTATAGTGTCAACTAAAACACTGTTAAATGTCACAAGGCACTACCTAGAAACCTACGTAGAACTAGGTACTATATCTAGTTACTCAAGAGGCCCCACCGCTGTGGTCTAGTGGCTAAGGTACTCGGCTGCTGACCCGCTGGTCGCGGGATTGAATCCCGGCTGCGGCGGCTGCATTTTTCGATGGAGGCAGAAATGTTGTAGGCTCGTGTACTTAGCTTTAGGTGCTAGTAAAGAACCCCAGGTGGTCGAAATTTCCGGAGCCCTCCACTACGGCGTCTCTCATAATCATATAGTGTTTTTGGGACGTTAACCCCCACATATCAATCAATCAATAGTTACTCAAGAGTGTCTGTGCTGACTTGCAGTTTTTTCTTCTTTTTTTGTAGGCACATGATGTCATTCGGGGCGTCGATTGACTGGCGTGAGGCATTGGAGATGGCAACAGGCACATCGGAAATTTCGGCAGAACCTTTGCTGGACTATTATGAGACACTGTTTGTCTGGCTGAGGCGAGAGAATATCAAGTTGAACAACTCGATCGGATGGTGAACAGCTTTTCCAGCACGAAGAGTAACCTGCGTTTCCATACGTGCTGTTCCCCTCGCTTGTACGTCGGCAACGCCAATTCAAGTTTGAAAACTGGCAACGGAGACAATGCGGCAAGCACAATATAAGATTCATTATGGCAAGAACAGAAAGTACGTTGACACGTCGTTCACGTGAAAGTTTTTTTTTTCAGTCCTGCAACATCAGTATTTCTTTCATTTCTGTTTTTTTTTGGTTATATGCAAATACACGGATGTATGATGACAAATGCACTAAAGGCCCGGGTGATCTTTCTCAAGATTAGTCGTAAACGCGGCATGAGTATCAGTAAACATATTTCAAGTTAAGTGGCTGTGACATTAAATACGGTGGTACTTAAGCTCATGAATGTGCTACTGCGTGGTCACACAATAGACACACTTTAATTTCAGTGAGCCTTGATGGAGACCTCATAGCAAAACTTATCACTATCAAGTGCCACCTATTCAGGCTGACTGCGCAGATTTTGCTGTCAAGCGTTAATCATGATCTAATGATCTGCCTATCATCAAAGCGCTTACTAAAAGTTTAAGTTTTCCGTGCTATTTGATCCAGGCATTTTCGCGTTATGAAACAAAAAGAAAGCAATCGATTTAGCTAGGTTATTCGCTACATTCAAAAGTAATTCGTTATAGAGTGCTCAAGCATTCTCTCAACCTGTGCCGGCGAACTGCAGGACATCAAATCAAGGGGAAATGAAAAAACATAGAGGAGGAGCAGGATTAAATTAGAAATTAAGAGCGGATGAGTTTGGATATAACTCAGTTTTACTGCTGTCTCTAGAATGCGACGATAGTCCTAGCAAGTAGCGCCACGCAGTGCTCAAGTCACTCGCCAGATATTGGGGTTGCTTCGTTGCTGGTACGGTAGATGGCACGGCGGTGTACGCAGTTCGGAAATAAGCAGAGCCAAACAGTGGCGGAACTTTTGAATACGTAAGGCTACTTGTCCAATCGTTGACGTTTAACAGACCTCCCGAGGTTCTTAAAAATGCACCTAAATCAAAATACACGGGTCTCAATCAAGCACGTTCGCCTCCATCAAAAATGAAGCCACCGCGGTCGGGATTTCATTTCACTAGCTGCGGGTCAGCAGGCCCGCACCATAACCACAGGACCACCGCCGCTGGTTGATGAGGCTATTTTAGGCGCAAGCTTTCGATCTTTCACTCAGTCGGTGCTGTGCTGGTTGGTATTTGACAGCGAAAGCTAACCTTCGAGATTCGTGCACATTGCAGAAATCATAGAGTTTCATACAATAATGCCTAGACAGTAATCTGGCGCTGCGATTGTGTACCCCCATAGAAATTATGGGAAGTACACGCTTCGGATTGGATAGAGCTAGCTAGTGAACTGTCTACAGACCTCTTTGGAGTTTCAGTTTCGTTCTTCGTGGAGTGCGGGTAGTGGAGTGGGGTAAAACAGGATGAAGCAGTGACAGCAGTGCCTTTGTTGCTCGAAGAAGCTCCTGATTCGCTGCGACATTAGAGCTTTGCGAGTCGTATTTGACAGTTTAAACGAAGCGTCGTCCACTCACCGCTGCGCTTAGATGTAGCGTCTCATGCCAGCGCAGGGTATTGCCTCGCGTTCATGTGTTACATGAGTGCGTCTTGTCTGAACTCGTAAATCGACTGCAAAGCGATGACGAAGCAAAGTAGAGGCACCGTCATGCTCTGCTGCCTCGACTTCACAAGAAAACCAGAGGTGCGTTGGGGGAAGACCACTGGGTTAGACGCACTTAGCGTCGCAGAAGACAATAAGTGTTTCTCGCTTAGTACTGTGCTGTTCTTTGCATAAATAGATAAAGAAAGCGTACTTTCGAGAGAAAAACAAGTACGTTTTTTTTTTCAAGTGTTGTATAAAATGATTCATTGAATATTGATGCCAAATCTGGAACGCAATGGCAGAGCGATGCATACCCAGATAATTAAATTTGTTGATGTTTCACTTCTACGCCATGCTCACAAAAACTTTTTTCAATAAAGTTTGCGTAAAAAAAGAATGAAGCGAATTTCAATTCTGTATAACTTCATATCATTTTGCTTTATACTAGGAAAAAAAGCGTCGCGAATCTTAAGAACGTGATCCATTCGAAGCAGATCCGAATCCTGTACTTCCCATCATTCCCATGCGGGTACAAGCGCCACTGAAGGAGCCCGCTTAAACACTAGCGCCAGATTCCACTCTAGGTATTATTGCATGAAACTCTATGGGAAAAATGCACACGATTTCTCACGTCACCATTCGTACCACCCGTACAAGCTTCACGTGAAACTAGTCTGCTTTTATACGAACTTCCGCATAACAATCGGCAAGTGTTATATATGGTCACTGCAACTGAGCATGTTCCTTTTGAGTGCACGATTCGTTTCTGTTGGAAGTACTATAGCGTTTACACTTCGAAGCATCCTGTGACGCTCTCCAGTTCTGCCTTTCTTGTTCATTGAACATGACTGTTTTCAGACAGCTTGAGAAAACTTCCTTTCAGTGAACACTTTCCTTATCTATATGTCATAGAAACAGCCATTTGCCAGAGCCTTCTTTTTCTCTGTTTTTCCTTTTTTTGTCATGTTATGGGTGAATCGTAGTACGAAAATGGCCGATGACGACTACAGTGAGCAATTGCTTACAATATAAGAAAATAAACAAGAACCTAATAATGGAGACGCCACACAACCATTAACAAGCAGCCCTGAGGACTCTCAGTGATGACGGTGCAAGCCACGAGATTACCTCCCGTGAATGTCCATAAAACAGCAATTATATATAATCATCGTCCACATTCAATGCGAGTCATTTTTTTTTCCTGATTCAGCGACACAGAGGTTCATCGTACCAGTGTCCCTGTGCGCAAGGACACCAGACCAACTGTTGCTTCAGACAGTCTTCGATCTGTATCGTATACGTATGTCCCACGAAGAGCCTTATGAGTTTGTTGCTGGCACGGCAATTCCTTCCCTGCACAAGCTGAGACAGACATGGAATGCGAACAAATAACATTCAAGCCTTGCTTCAACACAAACTGGCATGGCAGCGTCACACACTCGATGGTAACAATGTCTTTATTTCCAGTATTCAACTATATTTTACAGAAGACCCTGTCGTCCTTTCAAGCCTCGTTGAAGTTATGCAAGTGGCGTACCAGGACGAGAAACGAAGTACAGAACTGAAACAACCTGTAGAAAGCGATTCGCGAAACATAATTTCATCGAAGCAGACATGACCAGTACAATGTTGAAGCATAAATCATCGTGCGCAACCTGCCAAGTTCGGTTTCAGCAAGATGCTCGTGTTTAGACTTGGCGGTAATATTTCAGACGTAACGAGTGCATTGAAGAGATTGAAGCACAACAAAAAAAGAATATTGACGAAAGCTTAGCGATAATGGTATCTAGGTTCCCTCTTGTAAATATTTTCGGCTGTACTTACTGGTCTTTAGCTTTGACTGTTCCGGGCTATACTGCAGCATATTATAAAGGTGAAACCGGCTCACTTGCGCAAGTATGCAGTCTTGAACAGATAGCAGAAGCACGACGAACAGGGCTCACTTTCGGGTCGAATAAATGTATCCGGCGCGTGCGTATGTGCTCGTGCGCGTGTGTGTTTAAAAACGCGCAATCACCACTCACATTTCGAATAGAAAAATAGCCTTAGAATCCATCGCATGTCTCCCTCGGCACCATGGGTGCGTCGTCCGGGCAGCCGAAGGAGTCCGCAAATGCCGCCAAGTGCTTGGCTGCAGCGTTGCAAATCCAGCTGCCCGGCATGCGGCCAGATCCGTTCCTGCGAGCCGAATAGAGGGCGCCTACATTACATACGACAATGCATTATGCCAACTTCACCCCCACCCCTCTCTCTCAAAACAAAAAATTAGGAAGAGCGAGCACAACATGGTTAAGTCGTTCATATACTTACGTACAGGATGTGCCATCGCTCCGTCCATATGACAGCAGCGGGTACGATTACGGGAAATGTAGTTCATTACACACGACTTACGTAAGAGAACCAACCGGTTTTTTTCCAAGCGAAGCTTATGAGTTGGATTTCACTGGTGATGTTGGGGCAGGCGAAAATCGGAGACCGCTAGAGTACGCAGATGCGGCCATAAAACGTTCGCCGGCCACATGCGAAACTACGCGCTCTTTTCTCATTGTCGATGCTCTTCCGACCACGTCCTTGTCGCCGATCAGCTGTTTTTGGTATGACAACCTGGTATTTAATAAAGCCACTTGTCACTTCACGTTGCCACTTTTCATTGTTGGCCGGATATGTCACGCTGCTAAGCACGTTCGCTGGGGTAGCCAGGGGGCTTGGTGGTTGGGAGGAAAGAAAGAAAGAAAGAAAGAAAGAAAGAAAGAAAGAAAGAAAGAAAGAAAGAAAGAAAGAAAGAAAGAAAGAAAGAAAGAAAGAAAGAAAAGAAAGAAAGAAAGAAAGAAAGAAATATAAGTTCAGGGCCCGCTTACCCTCGTCTGCTCGTTAAGGGAAGGGCTACTGAATTTTGTAGTCAGTATAGAGGTGCCCCCCAATCTTGCTCTCGAGTAAATTCTAGATGCATTCTTTTCCTCGAGATGGTTTTGACAACCACTTCGAAGTCTCCTCGGGGCAGTAGGCTTCATCATCATCACCATCATCATCATCATCATCAACAACAACAACAACAACAACAACAGCCTGGCTACGCCCACTGCAGGCTTCACTTACACGAAACGCTCGCAGTATCCTCGGCAGAACCGCACAAAGAAGCGTTGTGTCATGGACAGCGGACCCTGGTTCGCGTTCAAGGTCGGCGCATAGCTGCGTTCTCGACCCCCGGCGTAGGCTGTCCTCGGGCGGTTGAAGATCGCTAGCTGGAACGCGGTCTGCAGCCCCAGTATGGCGCTTCCCAGTTGGTCCCACACGTCCGCATCCGAAAACTCCAGGCCGCCGGCACTGTCTGACAGGTACACCTGCCACAGTGCGCCGTATCAGCCACTATTAATATCCACTCACTATACCAGCTTTGGGGTAGCTGAGACTAGTAGGAAAATGAAGTCAAGAGCAGCTTCGAATTTTGAGGCTTCTTAAAGCGAATATATTGTTGCATGCTTAGACAGTCATCGGCCAGAGCACGAATAAATACCCCATACCGTCG